TACAGGTCTACAGTTCGAATCTCCCTACAGCCTACAACCTACGGCGACCTACTTACCACTGGCTATCGTGCAGGTCACGGGTTCAACTCCAGGGAACTGTGCAGATACTGTACACAGGTAAGCTGAGGTCAAAGGATCGACCCCCGGGATCTGCATCGGCTACTGCCAAAGGTGAAAACTGTTTCAAGAGAATCACTTCGTTTTTATTGCACAAAAAAGACTGATGAGGCCGGGGTCCTCACAATTCAACCCGGTAATGATGGTCAACTGAGTTCATTGCCAAACCAACCTGGCGGACAAAACCCTGCCAGACCAAACTGGCGAGCACAACAAACATTATTCTCCACAGACGGATCCTGAACGACCACTCGCATTTCATCGGCCTATTGAACATCCACATCCATTCCTCTTTTGAACAGGGCTTCAACATCCAGTGGGGCATTATGTATAATAAGCCAAGAGATTGACGCGCAGCGTTTGCTTGGCATTCTTCTGCTGACCTTCCACATCTCTTGGTAGTATTCCACTGTTAATGCCGTGCCTGTACTTGATTGAGAGTGAGCTTCTTGTATCCTAGCCGTGGAACTCCCTTTCACCCTTTGCAAAGCCATTCCTAGCTTAGATGAGTACCGGTGTATCTCCGGTGCACCTCTATAGCTAGGCCAACCATACATACTAATATCCAATCGCATGCAGCGGATGGGTGTGCCTTCCATAAGGATCATCGGTTGGACTGTACCCCTGAGTGAAAAACTTAATATTACTCTAACTTCCTCCAGTGCACACGGTCCTCCCACTTCTCGTTCCTCCTTAAAAACCAGTCCGTCCATAGTCTTGCCATGCTTAACTTGCCTCTCCCATACCTCCACCTTATCTTCACTGACTCTCTCGAGTACCTGCAAGTCCCTTCCAGTGCTCAACAAGGGGCAATACCATCGCCCCACCGGGTCTGTGCCCTGAAGGAGCTGTTTCCATTCTTCAGGAATCGCTTGAATCACCTCGTCCCTCCTCGCTTGGATGTACCACAGTCTTCCCAGCTTAACTCGTAATGCCTCTGCACTTCTCCAGTCCAACAGGATATCATCCCAGATGTCTTCTATCCGCAGTACCCCTCTCTCTACCCAGGCCCTCCCAAAGTTCCCTTTACCAGATATAGCAAAGGCGGAACCATCTTGCCTCCTGATTTGCTGTTTTTCGAAGATGGGTTGCCGCAGGACCTCGTCTCGGGTCTGGGGTTCCCTTACAGGCACTGGAGCAATGGATCTCCAGGCCTGCAAGATCCCTTGCCAAAACTGGGATTTTAGCTGGCGCCGCTGATACGACTGTGTGGTTAGCAGCAACCAAGCATCTTTCCCCCTGCCCAAGTCCCATTCTTTCCCTAGTAGAGCAACCCTCCTCTGTGATACTCTGCTAGGGCAACCCAACTTCTATCCTCTGTGTCCATTACTGCTTTCACCGGCCATTTGCACAGCAGTGCCGTATTCTGGTGTTGTGGATCAAGTAGAGCAAGACCTCCCTCCTCCTTCGTAGCTGTAAGTTTATCCCATGCTAACTTGGCCGCATGCCCTTCCCCCTCCTCCGCACCTGGCTTCCACACATACCTGGAGGCCGCCCCTCTGATATCCCTTGCTGCTTTCTTTCCCACACATACCTGGAGGAACTTTTTGGGAAACACACAAAAAAAAGAGTGAGTGAGTGAGTTCGCACCACAGCTGTGGTGCGAGAGCAAGGCTGTACCAGTCCCTCATCACGGTGAAGAGGGGAGGGCTGGAGGGGAGGGCTGGCATTGCCGATGGGGAAATTGGCGGTGCTAGCTCCGAGCAATGGCCAGTCACTGCACCTCCCCCCMCCCCCCCCCCCCCCCCCAACCCCACATGGCGGTGTCTAATGGCCAATATTGTTGAGGCATAGCAGCCAACAACATCAGCCAAGGTCCTGCCAATGCTGGCTTGAGGGGCTAACGGGTTATCTCTAGCTGGTAGAACACCAAGCTTGCCCAGGCACATACGTGAGGCCTGCTCGCGTTTCGAGGAAGGGAACCCACTCCATTTCCATTTTTGAAATGTTCAACTCGAGGACGGCGGCCTCCTCGGCAGCGACCGGTCCTCCACAAGCAGCGACTGCCCGTTCCCCATAAATTGTCACCCAGCAAATTCACCACCCTTTGGACCCGAACGGACGACCGGATGAAAATTTGATTCAGGGTTATAAAATCCAAACCCGACGGGCGTCGAAGAGGGTACAGATGCAATTTCCCTCTCGAAAATACAAAATCGAATGCCCTTTGGTCTGGCCGGGCAATCCAGGGGATGAAAATTTTATTCAGTGGTATAAAACCCAAACCCGACGGGCATCGAAGAGGGTACGGATGCAATTTACCTCTCGAAAATACAAAATCGAATGCGCTTTGGTCTGGCCGGGCAATCCCGGCGGTGGGGCAAAGGCCTCGATCCACTACTCACCAGATGTGCAAAAAGAGAATGAATCTTCCGCTAGATCATGGAAAGATACACTCTGATATTTTTTGATTTTTGTGCATGTGTGAGCAGTGGAGCGAGCGAGGCCCAAAGTATTCCTCGGACATGTTTTGGGCCCTAACTGAGTTCTGTTCGCTTCCGTCTCGTTTGATTTTAGTTTGGTTGGGATGTCGGCCATGTATTCTTTCCTCTTCATTGATTGATTGATCGATTGATTGATTGATTGATTGGTTTCATGTGGTTGATTGATTGATTGATTGATTGATTGATTGATTGATTTTGGTTGATTGATTGATTGATGGATAGTGCGCGCAGAACAAGCCAACCAGCTGTCAAACGAATGCTGCAGTCTGTGATTACGACGAGGGCGTGGACATATACTGCGCAACGTGGCTGGTGACGTGGCATGCGCATTTTTTTTCCGTCGCTTGTCAGACCGCCACCGCATCTTGGCATAAACACGACAAGCCACGTGCCACGTGGCATAAACACGATGGCCACAGCTAGCTCGGCGATGGTGAGGGTCAGGGGAGGGTTGCCACCTGCAACGACTCGATCTTCGTCGTCGTCGTGTTCTTCCGCAAGGGGGCTAACATCACTTGCCCGGTGCATTTCTTCTTCGTTCCCCCGACCTTATTCTTCCTCCTCTTCCTCCTCCTCTTCTTCTTCTTCTTCTTGTCCCTCTCCTTCTTCGTTCTCCTCTTCGCGTTCCTCTCCCCCTCCATCCTCCCCCGCTACCTCCCCTTCCTCCCTCTCCTCTTCCTCCACGTGCTCATGCTCCTCGTCGTCCACGTGGCAATGGAAGTCGATGATGACGTCATCAAGGTCCGTCCATCCGGTCAATGCGCAATTCGACTGCGCGGGAAAACGCGTACCCAGCGCGGAAACCCCCGGGGGGCTCAGATGGCAAATGCAAATGCAATTGCACGTGCATCCACGTGGCATTTTGGCGGGAACGCCTCGGGGCGATGCTGGTGCTCCTCCTCCGCCTCCTCCAGAGGCTGCTGATAGGTCGTTGTCGTCATCGCGCCGAGAGAGTCCTGCCAGCAGCAGGCTAGGGGGGAGGATGAGCTCTTGCGGGCCGGGAACGAGGTCTTCGGCGGGGTCGGAATCCCGACGAGGCTATTGGTGGGGAGGAAGTGGGGCGCGCGATGATGGCAGAGCGCGCGCTAGCCCGGTGTCTGTCGTCTCGTCCGACGTGGCAGAGGAGGTGGTGCTTCCCATGGATCGGGATCGCGATCAACTGGACCGACCGAACCTCAACCAACGACCAGCAGCAGCAGCAGCAGCAGCAGCCGCCGATGTGGAAGAGAGACATACCATAACGTCGTCAGTTGCGCAGGGCGAGGTGATAAGCGCAAGAGGGGGAGGAGGTATAAGGCAGGAGGAGGAGGAGGAGGAGGAGGAGGAGGAGAGGGAGATGGGAGTAGCCGATCGGACGGTTGTCGTTTCTCCTGGCTTGAATCTTTTGGCGGGAATGAATGTTGTTAAGTCCCCTGTGACGAACGTGTTGCTGGCGGGAGGCACGCACTCACGAATCAAGTCCGCTGTTTTCGTGAAGAGCAGCGCGGGAGTGAAGGATTGCCCGCAGACAGAGAAGGTGCCAGAATTTGCGGTGATTGGAAGATCCAACGTTGGAAAATCGTCGCTGATCAACATGCTGACGAATCGAAAAGATCTAGCGGAGGTGTCTAAAAAACCAGGTTTGGATATATCATGATGACCAGTAGTACTTTATTACTTTACTACAGTATTAGTATATGCTTGCTGTAAAAGGTACATTCTTTTTTTTTTTTTT